CTTTCCCTTCTTATGAGGAGCTGGGGTTTCTCCACCAGCCACCGGGGGCTTTCTTTAGCTTCTGGATCTCCAGGCATGTCTGGGGTTGCTGGGGAGACTGGAGCAGTAGAAATGGATCAAGTGAATGTGCCCGGGTCCTGGAGGTGGCCTTTCCATGAAATAGCCACAGGTCCAGTTCTTTGGGCAATCCCTCTGTGCTCTGCATGCACCATCTCATTGGACCCTCACAACAGCCCTGTGGGGCAGTACCATCATTGCACCCATTTTACAGATGAACAAACTGAGGCTCAGAGAGGTGGAGTGGCATGCCTGAGGTCCCATCGCTGTCAGGCTGACCCACTGAAGAGTGGTAGCCATTGGGATCTGTTGTCTATTTGTTGGAGAATGAAGCTTCCTATTGATTTTGTTCCTCCAGAAAATGGTCAGCAGGTAGCCGACGTGCAAGTCAATGCCTGAAGAGGGCAGATGAGGAGGACTGCTGTGATGCCGCCAACTGGTGAGGGGTCAGGCTCTGTGGCCCATGCTAAGGGAGGATGAGGCTCCTCCTTAGGGGACAATGGTGAAGCCAAAGCAAGGATTGGGTTCCCTTGTTTCTCTTGCAGCAGCCTGAGTCCTAATCTTGCTGATCTTGGTCTTAGACTGAGCCTTGACCCTAGTCCCAAGCTGAGCCATGATCCTGGTCATACTCTAAATCCCATCCTTACTCACACACCTCGACTGAGCCTGGATCCTAGTAGCAGGCTGAGCTTTGGCCCCAATTATTAAGCCCTAAACTTAGTCACAGACTGAGCCCTGACCCTGACCTCAGACTGATCCCTGATCTTGATTATTTACAAAGCCCTGAACCCTGACTCTAGTCCTGGGCTCCGGTCAGTCTCTTTACATCTGCCACTGTTCCTAAGGTGAGAGGAGGGCAGAGTGAGGGGATAAGGAGGCCAGAGAAAGACCCCAAACCACAGGTGCCAGTCCCCTCTCCAAGGCCTTAGGCCCTGCAAGGTATTGTGGGAAAGAGCTTGGGCAGTAGTGCCTGGTGAAGAGCAGGTGCCAGCAAGGCTCTTTTTGCTGTTAATGGCCTAACTCCTTGTGGTCTCATTCCAGATGAATTTCCAGTTGCTTGACCATGTTTCCTTGCAGTATCTGCCCCTGGGAAGATGCTGCCACCATCCAACTGGACTGAAAGCCTGAGACCAGAAGAAACGCTCTCAGCCACTCCTTGCCTTCACAGTTGAGACAGCAGTCTATGCTCATCACCCGTCCCCCTACCCCCACCCCCAACAATAAAGGCCACTTCTGCATCCTCCCGTGTGACATGTTGCAGTCCTTCCATTTGGGATTTGCGGAGGGAGGTGCTAGTAGGGTAGCAGAGATCTGGGTCAAGAACTGAAAGGGCCCTAGCTGGCTTGGCTCAGTGGTTAGAGTGT